GGCTCTGGTGAGCGAGCGGGGGAATGGGCGTGGAAAGGCCATAGGCTCTGGTGAGCGGCGGGGGGTGGGCAGGCTTGCACGGGGGCTGCTGTTTGCTGCCCACCCCCCAAGACACTCGTCCTGTCCTTCCAGCTGCATGGATGCCTCCATCGCCATCAAGCCAGTCTTTGAGAGGTTCCAGTCGGTCATCATCACCTCGGGGGTAAGTGGCTCCTGGAGCTGGGCGCGGGAAGTCTTGCAGCTGTGGCCGCTGGGGGTGCCGGTGATTAGCCGTTGATCCGCACGGTGGCTCTGCTAGAAACAGCCCTTCCTGCTCAGCGGGTGCTTCTGCTTCCCCCCGCCTGGTGCATTCAGGGCTGCATCTCTGGTGTGTGCCGTGACTTGGGCCAGCCCAGCTTCTCCGTCCCCTGCAGAGCCGGCCTGGCCTGGGCATAGGTGGAATTCTGGGGGTGCATGGCTGGAGCCCTCTGCTGCCCTGGCTTGCCAAGGGCCCATGGGCTGGGCTGGTGACCCAGTGCTGCGAGTCCAGCTTGGCTCCCATGTGTGTGTGGGGACCCCCCGAACCCTGGCACTGCTTGTGGGTCACCCTGAGAGCAGAGCCCTGCCCTGGCACAGCAGAGACACTCAAGCCGTCTGTAGCTGGCATCTGTGCTCAGCCACCTCCTCATATCCAGGCCTTTGGAGCGAAGGTCCCATGGGCTGAGTGGTGAACAGCAGCCCCCCAGCTCATGTTTCACCCCATCTCCCCATGTAGACGCTGTCCCCGCTGGATATATACCCCAAGATCCTGGATTTCCATCCTGTTACCATGGCCACCTTCACCATGACTCTGGCCAGGACCTGTCTCTGCCCCATGGTGAGTGGGCGGCTGGGCAGGGTGGGGGGTAGCTGCAGGGGGCTGGGCCTCGGGGTGGTTGGGGGGGTGGGGGGACCTGCCGAAAGCCCCATGCTCCCCCGGTCTGGGCAGTTGCCGGGCACCTCTGAGCCCCTGCTCTCCTGGGGGCTCTCTGGGCCGGGGCCCACTTGCCAGCGTCCTGTTTTCCTTTCAGATTGTGGGGCGAGGAAACGACCAGGTGGCCATTAGCTCCAAGTTCGAGACCCGCGAGGACATTGGTAGGGCTGCTACAGGGCGTTAGCCTGGGGGGGAGGATGTGGGCTTCACCCTAGAGTCACCTCTCCTCTTCCCAGCTGTGGTGATAGGCTGCCCTGCCAGGGGCTCGCCCCGGCTCCCCTCTGCCTTGGCCCTGTGGGCAGAGTGGGGGTCCCCCAGTGACCGCTTGGGCTGTGGGGGCTGTTGCAGCAGCCGGCTCCCCTTGTTCTGCCAGGGGTTGCTGTGCCAGAATTGGGGGGGGACCCTGCTCTACAGGGTGCAGGGGTGATCTGTGCCATACGCCCCCCCCCCACGGAGTGAGCTGGGCAGTGGGCACCAATGGACCAACCCTCCCTCCCCCCCCGCTGTGTGGCGTGACTGAGCTGGTGGCCTTCCTGGCCATGTGACTCAATGCAGTTCCAGCCCCGTGGCCCTTCCCCCATGGCCTTCTTCTACCACTGGGGAGTTGAACATGTCTGTCCGTCCCCTCCT